TAGGCAACTAATGTGAAACTTGTAACACGCCTTGCAGAGCTAACATATGGCAGGACATTTGGTATTTGCATAAATAGCGCATGGGGCCATGGGGGTGATGCGCGACTTAAACGCACATATTCTTCATACGCATTTCAATCGTATTAGATTTGTAAATAATTTGTCAAAAGAATTAAACTGATAAAATATCTCTGATTATCAAAAAAACCAGTAGCTCAACGTGATTGCTCTTTTCCAATATTATGTTTGTATTAATATGACGGAAATAAAATAAAAAAGACAATAATTGTTATTATCCAAATTATTTAAAATAGAGTGAAATAAAATTAAATTTGATAAAAAAATATTTCATTTTATTTTATCTAATGATTTTTGTTTTCTTTTTTAAAATCAGTTTAAAAGATATGAGATGTGACTAACTTGTTATTTTATAATTCCTTTTTCATTTCAATCACTTTTAAATAACAAACATAAAATTTATTTCATTCCATCACAAAATATTCAAATAATAAACTATAATTTTATTTTTTTCTCTCCTCTCGTTATGTTTTATTTTATTTCATCATTATTAAATATAAAATAAAGTATTAGGTCCACGTACACATGAAGCCTGCTTGTAAGATTCTCAATTGACACAACTTCTTTGTTGCTTTGTCTTAGAAAGATTCTCCTTTGTTGACAGGGCATGATTTCAAGCTTTCCTGTATATGATTTTACTGATTTAGAAGAATCATGGCGCTCCTTGATCTTTTGTACTACAAACAAACTGCATTAATAGTTTGAAGGGGACGATTTGAACAACAATGGAAACAAGGACAGCTGTTACAACATGTGCCACCAGTTTTGCCAGCACTTAATGAGGTAAAATACGATCCTGAAGAAGACAACCTGGAATCTGATTAATTAACAGGGCCAAGCATGTCTCTTCCTTCCGAGGCCAATCTCCTTTCAACTAACAACACAGCAATTAAAGGTTACAGCTATTGTTATATGATTAATGTCCTAGTTTACGTTGCTTTGCCAATTTTGTGACTCTTATATTAAAGTCTTTCAGTTGCAGGTTTTGTGTTAATGATCGATTTATTTTTCCTGCCAAAATTACTGAAGATTACCGCTACTAGAAAAGTCAATTTTTTCGACGGAAAAATTCTGTCGAAAATGGTAAAAATTCCGTCGAAAACAAAATTTTCGACGGAATACAGGCCGTCGAATTTTTCTTCGTTGATAACAAATTTTTCGACAGAATTTTAGATTCCGTCAAAAAAATTTGACAGAATTTATTTCCGTCAAAAAATTTCGACGAAAAATCAATGATATTCCGTCGAAAATTGTTGTGATGGTTTTCTACGAAAAACAGATTCCCTCGAAAATTTTCGACAGAAAATCAATGAATTTCGTCGAAAATTGTTGTAATGGTTTTCGACGGAAAATGGATTCCATCGAAAGTTTTCGACGGAAAATCAATGAATTTCCGTCGAAAAATTTTTGAATTTTTTTTTAAAAAATTTAGAATTAATTTTTTTAATTTTAGAATTTTTTTTTTAATTTATCTCTACAAAATTAATTCCAATTTTACGTATCACACATGATAAAAATATATAATCAAAATAAACAACACATCAATATCAAATCTCCTTAATCAATACATTATTTGAGTCATGGATCATAGTCTACACTCCAGAGAAGTGTAAATCATTCCATATGTTTCAAATTTCGCAATACCAATTCTTTAATATTTTTGTGATACTGTGAACAAGATACTGCTAGTTAAGTTCTAAACATGGATAAATTAACATGAATTGTTTAGTGTACCAATAGGGTGTTTTTAATAAAAGGAAAACAAAAATATTGAAAATAAAAATATTGAAAACAAAAATATAATAGAAGCTTTGGAGGGTAGACTATTTGATACCTCATTTCCAAAGTAAATATCTGGTCCATAGAAAAATTTTATGCTAGGATAAGAGCATTTAAGCTTCCTTCCACATGGTATCCATGAAATGGTAGAGCCCTCTTCTCTTCTTTGAGCCTTTCATTTAACACTTTCTATTTCTTAAATGTGCTCTTCTCTAGGCTAATCAATATCAGGATGAATCATACCTGTCAAAATTTAAGACATGCCCGATTAGAGAAATAAAGGGTTTCTTTCTAGATGTATACATGCATTGTCCTTTACTAACTTCAACCAAAATCCGGTTATTTCGCTAAAGTTTGGCTTCCTTCGTCTTACAATAGTTCCAATGATTACAAAAAAAATTTCCCCCTGATTAATGGGATTGCTTTTGAGTTTTGCAGTGGTGGTCAAATTCAATGCTGGTGGATCATAAGTGTGAAATATACTATGCTTTTAAATAATAATTAATATAATTAAAAATATAGTGTTAATTAATAAAATATTAAAAGTTAGTAAAATGCCAACAAATATATAAGATCCTAATTTTTTTTTTATTGTTTCATGTTGTTTCATACTAGGAATAACAAATTACTAACATGATGAAGATGAGAAAGCAGTTGGCACGGCGAAAATATAAAAGAAAAATCAGAAAATAAAAATTGGAAAAAGATTCGGTCACGCTCGCTATCTTGCTTGCTTCAGCGAGCAAGTGAGCGAGAAGCATAATTAAGCTCGCTCTACTGCTCGCTTCAGCGAGCAAGTGAACGAGGAGCAGGAATTGTCTCACTGAGCAGCTCGCTTATGGAGACGCGAAGAAAAGGAGAACTCAGAGACGCGAAGAACGCGAGTAAAACTGTAAAGGCACTTCTGGAGATGCGAAGAAAAGGAGAACTCAGAGACGAAGACGAAGGCAGTAGCAGAGGAGGAATACTGGAGCGGTGCAGAGGAGAAAGAGAAGATCAAATCTACATCCTTGATCATCATTAACCAAGTTTCATCATGAACTTTATTTACTTTACAGTAGTTTTTAATTCTGTTTTTATATTATGCATAGCTAAATTCCTTAAGTAGTTAGGGCGAGACGGAACCATGAGTTCTTAAACATTGTTTGCTTTTCTTACGATGTTCTTGATTTATAGTTATGCAATCAATCTGTTATTTATGCTTAGTTTTATTTATGACTTGATCACTCGTAGATAAACATATGAGTTGTGCATGACAATAGGGATGTTAGTGTATGATTCTGATTGGTTGATTGCTGGAATTTGTATGATCTAGGAATAGACTTATGAATTCTATAACCGTGTGTTCTTGCGTTAATGCTTACTTTATGAAAAAGTACTAAAGGGTTAGACTTTTGAGTGGAGTAAAGGATTGGATTATCAAGGGATTGAGATTTAATCGAAATTAAAAAGAACTGTTAATAACTGAATCTTGAATGTGATTATAAGAATAAGTAAACTAGTTTGGAAACCATTGAGGAAGTTAAGTCCTTGCTACATCTTTTATAAAAACTTAAAATCAATTTCTAGCATTCTAAATTCTGAATTTAATTTTTTAAATATTAAAAACCAAAAATAAATAGTTAAATTCTTGTTTTAATTTAATTAAAATATTCTCCAAGAAATTCATTCACGATCGATCCCACTTTAGTTAAATAGATAAATTAATGCTTGGTCATTAGTTCTCGTGACAACTTATTCTTATCACTTTATTACTTGTACGATTGGTGTATTTGTCGAAATCATAATGGAAGTGTAGAATTGGGATACAAATATATAGTAATTTAGGTCCTTAAATAATTATACCCTTGAAGGCATAATCAACAAAGTAAAAAAGCGGATCTTTTTGCATACTAGAGTCAACCTTGGTTATGATGGTTATGAAATCTTATAATACTCTAATTTTCCAACATTCTGCTTTGTAAAACCACTCCCGTTCATTTTTTCTTTTCATTAGTTTCACATGCCGACACACTATTGCATGTGTCTAAAACATTGTTATAACGCTATTCAACCACATGTTTAGAAAAATACACATGACATCATGAACGGGCTTCTTTAATTACCATACTGCGCCTTTCCGATCAGTGATTTTCCTTGGAGTTTGTACTTTCTTTTTTCACAGCTTCTTTCTTCATAATTCTACTTATTTTTTTTAATTAATTCAATTCTAATTATTTTTTTGAGACAAATTGATTTCCTTATATTTTCACAAATTTTAACTCTTTTAGCCGGCTACGAGACTAATTTGACAAAGGCGGAGTCACGTTGGTACTAGCAGGTACTTTGGTACTGGCTAATTTAGCCACGTTTCAAACGTAGCTAAATTAACATAGCAAATCATGTTTCAAATTTTTTGAAAATTAGCCACGTTTTAGATGTAGCTATATAACCGTAACTATTTTGGCACCAGCTACAATATTTGACAATGGCTAAAATACTTTACTGACTCTACCAATGTAATTCGAAGTATGGGAGGATCAAGAGATGAAATATTTAAACACCTCTAAAAAATAATATGTAAATATCAACCACTGGTCGGAAAGGCGCAATATGGAAATTAAAGAAGCCCGTGCATGATGTCGTGTGTATTTTTCTAAACATGTGGTTGAGTAGCGTTGTAGCAATGTTTTAGACACATGCAATAGTGTGTCGGCATGTGAAAACTAATGAAAAGAAAATAAAAAATGAACGGGAGTGGATTTACAAAGCAGAATGTTGGAAAATGTATTGTAAGATTTCATAACCATCATAACCAAGGTTGACTCTAGTATGCAAAATTAAATTGGACCCATTAAAAAAAAAGAATCTCGCCCATTTTTGTACATGCATGAGACAATTTTGTCTGACTTATTTCTCATAAAATAATGTTTACATGTTTCTTTGGTGGCCCATCTCTGAAGTGAATTTGTGATCAGACAACCATATGTTAAATTCCAAATGTGCGTGCTTTTAAGATAGAAAACAGGAAATGGAAAACCAATAGAAGGAATAGTATCAAGTACTTTTTTGAAAACCATGCAGTTTATTTGGACTAAATCTACATTTCCACCAACATAGACGATCATATTGTTGTGTACGGTGAGAGCAGCTCAGCTGTGAAGATGGTGAGAACTCCTTGTTGTGAGAAGAAGGGACCTTGGACACCGGAAGAAGATCATGTATTGATTTCTCATATTCAACGAAATGGCCATGGAAACTGGCGGGCCCTTCCAAAACAAGCTGGTTTGAGCAACTTTAACTCCTTTTATTCTATTTCATAATTAATTGTTCAATTCTAGTGATTAAAGACTGGGATTTTTCTATAAATCAACGACGATTCCTTTAATTTATATATATATATATATGATTGTTCAGGTTTGTTAAGGTGTGGCAAGAGTTGTAGGCTTCGTTGGATAAATTACCTGAGGCCAGGTATTAAACGTGGGAAATTCAGCAAGGAAGAAGAAGAGACCATCCTCACACTACATGGAATTCTTGGAAATAGGTGGGTACATTTATAAAGATGCCATATAACTCATATATCATACAGTAGTTTTTTTTTTTTTTTTTTCAAAGTATTCTCCAACCGACAGCTAGTTGAATACTAATCATTTCGATTCGAGACAGAAGATTACATTAAGTGGACAAATCTCTTCTAACAAAGTCTTTTCCATACGCACTGTCAGAAATCAAACCTCTGTTAGCATGTTTGCTTAAGGAACCAGCTATCTACAGTGCTGGGCTTTGTTAGTCATACCCTAGTTTTAATATAAGATATGATTGAGTTTGCTGAAGTAAATAAATGATGAAATTAATTTCTTAATGAAACCCTTGATGCTCACAGATGGTCTGCTATTGCGGCAAGATTACCAGGACGAACGGATAACGAAATAAAGAATTTTTGGCACACCCATTTGAAGAAGAGGCTTGAGAGAAGTACTGATCAAGAGGCACAAGCAATAACTTGTAGTTCAGGGGCTTTAATAAATATGCCACGGGTAGCGGTGGATGCATCAGGTGCTATTACTTCTAGTGTTACCAATGATAGTTCGCCCTCAAGGAGAAATCTACCTATTGTGGGTCTAGGAATTTACGGTGCAGTTTCTTCTGATATTTCAGGAGAAACAAATGAGATCCATGAACAAATGGAATTTTGGTATAATCTATTCATCAAAACAGGACAATCATCCCAAGGGCATGAAATTATATAGGACAGATTTCATGAATATATATATCTGCCTTTGCCCTTTCTTTAAGGTTTTTATTGAAAATCATTTCAGCTTTGTGTTGTGTTTGTGTGCAAAATTTAAATTCTAGTTTAAATTAGCAAAGGAAAAAGAAAGGTGAGCGAAAAAAGAATTGTAATGAATGCTTATATGATAATTCAGACCTCTACTTGTATTTACAATTTGAGTTGAATTCATTCGTCACGTTTGTTTATGAGTATTGAGTGGTATTTCACTTCATTTTTGTATCCTGAGTTCACATGTATTCTTAAAAATATATATAAATTTATCGAGACATTCATCGTGCTTATTTGAAGATGACATTTTAGTAAATATTTTGTCCATCAACGATGCAATGCAACCCTTGCTTTTCTCCGAATAAATATGGCGTTAGGACACCACTTTGCATGCCACTTTTTATTTTTTATTTTTTTACCTCTCATTATCTCATAATTTTATTATTTTCAGAGTAGACTTTCAATTAGTCAAAAATATAAAAAAAGAAAAAGACTTGGATGGTATAAATTCTAGCAATCTTATTTGATCAGGAAAAAAATATAATAGACCCACTAAGGGTTAAAATCCAAAGATCAAGGCCCAAACATACAGGGCCCATACAATGCGCGATATTTCCATCGCGCATAAAAAATCAAGGGTGTGATGGCTTCATCGCGCCTAAATCGCCTAAGACATGACTTCAGAACTAAGGAAGAAGTCTATAACATAGCAGGATGTCACCGCGCCATGAGCCAATACTTTAAAGACAACATCAGTTTTCCACAACTCTACAAAGGTAGCTTGACATATAAAGGTATAGCCACAAAGGCACCAGCTGAGAACAGATAAACTTGCAGCCCATAAACGACCAATTAGAAGACATACCGACTACTAAAGGCAGTATCAGATTTACTAAATAAACAAGGAATATACACTCAGGTACAACAATCTAATTCAGTAAGAATACAACATAAGCCTAGTTTTGATACTGACTTGAGCATTAGAGTGTCTTTGCAGGTACCCTAAGTCAGAATCATCGCGCCAAGAGAGACCATCATTGATCCATCTCATTGCTATCATCTCTAACCCAAGAAACATACTACCCAACCGAAAGTCTTAACTCTTCAACCGTGTATGATTAGGCCCAATACATATTGGCCCGTCCAATAGCGGACCCAGAAAATTTTATTTATGCCTGCACATTTAGTAGCGCTGAATTTTTTTTTCAAAATTTTTTAAATACATTAAAAAACAAAAAAATATAAACAATAAAAGAAAAAATAACTTCAACTTAACATAAAATAATAATAATCAAGAGTCAACTAAACTATCATAATTTCAAGCAATGATTATTTGTTAAGTTTTTTATTTGTATAGCGATGCAAAATAATCTTGTCCTATTTTTATTATTATTTTAATATTGAATATAATTATATATCACAAGTGAGGGTAAAATTTTTTACATTATAAGTTGTACAACATTTCATAGAAACTCCAATAAATTTTAATATTTTTAGTTGTAAAGCCAACTTTATACCTAAAAGGTGCATGACTAGACATTTCTAACAGCACACTAGCCAACTTTTTCATGTGTCTTTAACACTAATTTTAACCTAGGAATATTTTATATTATAAATTGTTCAAATCACCCCTTAATTCTTTACAAAAAAAAAAACTTCCCACAAAAATTTATGTCTGCAAGTGCCCACAGCAATAGTGTGGGTCCACCATTAGGCCCGCTCATATTGTACTGGTCCGATCATTATTCATGTTACGTCCTTTCCTTTTAGGTGTTTATTCATATGAAAAATATATAAACAGGTATATCCGTATAGTTAATACTTCCACTTGCATTTATAGGGTGAGTTCAATTAATTTGTCATGTTTATTTGCGAGTATTGAATGACGTTTTATTTCATTTTTGTATCTTTGTGATTCATAATTATGGGGTCACAAAAAAGGATAAGTCTTCCAGAGTCCAGACCTTCAAGTTAAAGTCAAACATCGTTCACGGTGGGACTCGAACCCACAATCTCCCGCTCCGGAGGCGAGCGCCTTATCCATTAGGCCACGCGAACTTGTCGCTGATTGTAGATTCCCTTTATAATGGATAAATCAAATAACTTATTTATGGAGAGTGCAGAATTATCAATTAACATATAATTATATTGACTTTTTTGTAATATAAGTACACGAAGTTATTTTTATAATAAAATTTTAACTAAATAAAATATGTATAGGTTTAGAATTTCTTCGATCATAAAAAATGAAATTATTTCTGTTAACCCCATGTCAACGTAGTTTTGGATTTAAATTAATATAGTAAGAAAAAAAGCAAATTGTTTTGAAATATTATATATTTTTTCTAAAACCCAAAATAATATTGATAATATCGTAAGAGAAGTATTTTTTCCAATATGTATATACATTAAATAATCAATTAGTAAATTTAAAAATTTCCCTATATTTTTTTATTCTTTTCCTGATTTTAATTTTTTAAAGGATTCACGAAGCTCTTTGCATGAAATTATATTATTGTATATTTAAGTTTATGATAAACCGTATATATAATATCATATCGATCATTAAGTATTATAATATGTATATATTTTTATAATTTTAAACTGTATTTCAAAAATAAATAAAGGGTTCATTTTTTCTAAAGTTATTTTATATAACTTATCTAATGTTCACCAAAGCGATGTCATTTTGGGACAAAAGTTATGATATGTTTGTAATTTTTATTTATTTCAAGGATATAATAATTTTTTATTATTCAAATTTTTAAATTTTTTAATCCCAAAATAATGTGTTTCGGTGAACATTAATTAGATAAAATTATCTAAAGTAACATTAGATATTTTTGTCATAAATATATTATCACGTATCATAGATTCATAACTGTAATATTGTAACCAAAAAAAAAATATTAACTCTAATATTTTTTTTTTTATAACAATTAACTCTAATATTTGGATTTTGTAAAGTTTGATAAAGCCTGACATTGAGATTTGAGAGGGTTAACTCGTGTACGCGTACATCAGTGTATGGGCCATATTGATTGGGCTCTTCTCATCTGACTCGGTGTTGGGTTTATGTTGGAATAGAAGATTCTATATGTTGTTATGATTTGCTGTGATATGTTGTAACCTGTAGTTTGTTAGGATATGTATAACTGAGTCCTATTGTAATTAGGTATAGTTACTTATCTTTAGGAAGTTGTTTTACTATTTGGTAACAGACTGTTTGGTAACAGCCGTAACAGTATATTCTATTTAAGATACATTGATGTACAGTTTTAAATCAATGAAAATACTATCAATTGATACCATTTATCAGTTTAATAAAAAAATGAAGAAGACGGGTATTCTTTTCATTACATGTAAGAGAGGAAAACTAACAATATGGTTGCTAAGTTAAGGATCATCACTATAAGTTATAACTAGTACTAATAACCACTAGTGCAGAGTCATGTAAAAGCATAAACTTGAATCAAAATCTATAATTTTCCTCTCGAAAACACATCAGTTTAGAAACAGTGAGTTGAGTGTCTCATTAATGATCATACAAGACGCTCAACTCACATAGTGTCGTTGTGATTGTCCTATGTAGGGATGCCTCCCAATCAGGGGTATGTCATGAAAAATTGGATTATCTTAGGATTTCTTCAGTCAAATCATAGTTACGAGCGTCCCTGCACATTCAATTGAATGGGTGTCTTCAATTGGATTATCTTAAGGAGTCACTTTCACATCATAGTACGTTTTGTCTCCCTATTGGCCCCACTATATGACTTGTTATGTATAATCCAATTGAAGCTAATGTGGAATGGGTGTCGGGCATTTTCATCTTTTATATACATCAGAGAATTTTTCAGAATATACATCAGTGTTGTAACTGGATAGTCTTGGCTATTAATACAGTTAGTTAAATTTGGATGGAAAATAAATAAGTGGTTAATTGATTATAAATCAAATCACAAGGATGATAAAAAAAAAAATACTTAAAGAAAGTAAATGATTTAAAACACACTTCAGGGAATTTATGAAATTTTTTCTAATAAATATTTTTGTTTACAGTCAGTCGGATTAGCTTTCCACTTGTCTCTGTCACACCAAGACACATTCACCTACTGTAGTAGACTCAAGCATGCATATTGTAGTTAAGTACGTAAGTCACTTGCGTATCATCATCCCATAGGTTACATTTTTCCGAAAAAACCAATTATCCATCTGACGGTCACCCTCACCCCTTTTGTCTTGGCTCAAGTATATATATTCCGTGGGAATTAGCATGAACATAAAATATTTGTCCATGCATGAGTTCTTTAGGTGCCATTTGGTAGAGTAGAATTTTTTTTTTTTTTTCAGGAATCTCAATTTTCAAAAATATGATTTTTATATTCAGTTTATGATAATATCCGAAAATTTAAAATTTAGAAAAATTCAGTTTCCCGGAAATCTTGGAAAATAACGCGTACCAAACATCCCCTTATTATTATTTAGTGCTAAACAGTGGTACCTACCTACAATTTCTATATAAAGGATGACATATTCTTCTGGGCAACTCACCTCCCTATCTCTCATATCCAAGCTCACCTCTGCTTCCCTTTCTCAACACTCTCAGACCAGAGCCCTAATCACAATCGTTTGTCAATGAACGAAATTAGATGTGATTTTCTCACGGAGGCTGAGAATGGAATGTTAGAGAAAAGAGAAGGCGCTAAAGGACAACTTGTTGGTGTTGAAGTGACGGTGTTGGATCCATGTCTTAGGGAATATCCTCTGATATTGAAGAAGTAGAAAATGACGAGGACCAGCATCTACGCTCTCATCAAAAACTGGAAAATTGTTGTTTCAGATAATAATTTAGAAGAAGGCCATCAACTCAAAATATGGTCTTTTAGAGTTGATGCCAAATTATATTTTGTTTTAAACAAAATTTGAAAGCTAGACGTGGCATAGAGGGAGACAGGATTAGTTAGTTGT